GTGGTGCAGCGTGAGATGGGGGGCTGGGATCCGGGGGAGCCCCTCCCCGAGGACAGGGCCTGGAGACCCATTGCTGGGGGGGCTGGGATCCGGGGGAGCCCCTCCCCGAGGACAGGGCCTGGAGACCCATTGCTGGGGGGGCTGGGATCCGGGGGAGCCCCTCCCCGAGGTCAAGGCCTGGAGACTCAGCAGGGCCAGAGGACCCCTGACACGGGGGTGGGGGTGTGTGCTGTGAACTGGGGCATCACCGATGTCGGACTGCGAACCGGGGGAGCCCGGACCCCCCTACCCTGCCCGGCTCACAACCCCCCACCCCAGGAGGGCCAGGGGTGGGGGGAGCGGGGGGGGGGACCGGCGCCTCCCCCGCTCACCTGCTCTCTGGTCTCCTCCAGGGACATGCGCTCCTCCATCTCCTTTTTCCGGCGCCGCTCCTGCTCCTCCTTCATCTTCTGCTCCATCATCTTGTCCACCTCCTCCTCCTCTGCGGGGACACAGCCGGGGTCAGGCCGGCCGCCCCCTGCCCCCGGCCGCCGCGGGGAAACGCTCCCAGCTGAGGACGGCCAACTCGTCACAGCCCGGCCCGCCCCCAGGAAACAAAAAAAAACAAGAGCCGGGGGCGGGGGGGGGATCGGATCCGCAGGCCCCACCCCCCAGACACACACCGTGAGGGGCCGCGAAACGGGGGGGGGGGGGTGTTAGCCCGTTAAACCGGGGCAAGTTCAGGCTAGAAAGTAGCAGAAAGTTTTGACGCGTGTGGGGTGTGTGTGGAGGGGGTGTGGGGGGCTAGGTGCTACAGCAGCCACCCCATAGAGGTTGTGGGGGGGCATCGCAAGGGGAACCTTGTTAATTTTGAGAGCCAACCGGAGAAACTAATGAGGACGAGCAAACCAGAAATTGAATTCGAGCCGAACCACGGGCCTCCCCTTCTTCCCATCCCGGCCGAGAGTGGGGTTTGGCCCCCCCTTTTTGTCACCCGCCGCCCCAGGCAGGCAGGGGCCCCTTTGCAAAGGGGCGACAGAGGCCACGGCCCCCACAGACCGTGGGGCACAAACGGGCCTCTTCCGAAGCAAAGCCAGCGAAGACCACTTTGTGGCCAATGTCTCCCTGTGTCTGTGTGTGGAGGGGGGGGTCCCGTGTGGGGGAGAGGGGGATTGGGGGGATCCCGTGGGGCAGCACAGGAGGGAGGGGTCCCAGCTGGAGGGAGGGGTGTGTGGAGTACCCTGGGGCAGTACGGAGGGAGGGGGTCCCAGCTGGAGGGAGGGGTGTGTGGAGTACCCTGGGGCAGTACGGAGGGAGGGGGTCCGGGTGGAGAGGGTTGGGGGGTCCCGAGGTGAGGGAAGGGGTTTGGGGGTCCCTGGGGCAGTCCGGGGGGGAGGGGGTTGGGGGTTCCGGGGGGCAGTACGGAGGGGAGGGGGTCCCAGGTGAGGGGAGGGGGTTGGGGGGGGTCCCTGGGGCGGAGGGGTTTGGGGGGTCCCTGGGGCAGTCTGGGGGGGAGGGGGTCCCAGGTGAGGGGAGGGGGTTGGGGGGGTTCCGGGGGGGAGGGGCCCCGGGGGTGTGGCTGATTCAGGCCCCGCCCCCGGGGGGGCGGGGCGAGCAGGCCGGGGCGGAGCTAGAGGGGCCGGACGAGGGGGGCGGTCGGGCTGTTCAGTGACGTGAGAGGCGTTGCCAGGCGGGGGCGGGGCCAGGTGTGGCGCCGGGGTAGGGTAGGGGCGGGGCAGGGCTGGGGCGCCGTTGCTAGGTGACGCCGCGCGGCGAGGAGGAGGGGGGCGGGGGCGGGGCTCACCCTGCCGCTTGCGCTCGCGCTCCACCATGACGTGGCGGTGCAGGGCGCGCGCCATGGCCGAGGAGAGCTTGGGCCGCTCCAGCAGCGCCGGCATCTTCGCTCCGCGCCGGGCCCCGCCCCTACCCCGCGCTTCCGCTTCCGCTTCCGGGTCACGCGCCGCCGCGCGGCCCGGCCCCGCCTGGCTCACAGAGAGGCTCGGCTCGGCCCCGCCCCTGCGCGGAGCCCGCCCCTTCCCGCCGGCTCACAGCGCAGCCCCACCGCCTCCTGGCGGAACATAGGGAGGCCCGGCCCCGCCCCCTTCCTAACCCGCGTGAGAGCGAGGCTCGGCCCCGCCCCTTGCCCAGTGGTGGCAGAAGTGGGATCAGGACCAAACACGAACTCCGCCCCCAGCCCAGGGCGATGGGGGGCGGGGGGAACAGACCCGTCCGATTTTGTTTGGGGAGCGGGGCAGCAGAGGGGCCCCCACCAACAGCGGCAGCACGCCATTGCCCCTCCCTCCCTGACCCTGGGAAAGGGCCCACCCCCAGCTTGGGGGAAGAGGGGTAGTGGGAAGACCTTGCCCCCAGCTGGGAATCTAGGAGGGGCTCAACTCCTCCCACCCACCAAGAATGTAGGGCATGGCCGGGGAAGGACTGTACCCCCCCCCCCAGCTGGGGGAGAACCAACCTCCTTGGGTGCCATGGGACCCCCACTTAAGGTGCATGGAAGGGGGTCACCTCTACCGCTGCAGGGAGCCACACAGGCCCTGTAGGGGGTAAGTGCACGGAGGGGGGAGCAGGCGGTATGGACCCCTGGGGAGGAATCTCAAGCAGGGGCAGTTCTGCACTAGGGAACACCCCCCCCCCTTAGGGCTGGTGCTGACACACACAGACACAGACACAGTTGAGCTGGTTGGATGGCGGTTTATCAATGGGGGGGGCCTTTAGGAATACCCCCCCCCATACACCCCACATTCAACTCCACCCCACAACACGGCTCGGCCTCCCCCCCAGCCATACATGGAAAAGCAGCTTAAATAAAAACTTTAGAAAAAGGTAACAGCCTGGGGAGGGGTGGGGGGCTAAACCTGCCCCACCTCCCCCCCTCGCCCCAGGAAATTCACATTTCAACACCATGAATGGGTAATAAATAAGGAAGGGGGGGGGGACAAAATAGGGCTGAGGGGGCAGGGAGGGAAGGGGGGGAACAGGGTCACTGAGCTGACATTTCCCCCCTCCGACCCCCCCAGGCTGAGCAGGGGGCAGTTGTAAGTGCTAAAATTCACCCCCCTAAAATCCAGGGTAAGGGTACCCCCAACAGACAGCTGGAAAATCACCTCCCCCGACTTCAAAGGGGGTAACAACAAATCCCCCCTCCCCAAAGGACGAGTTCAACCCCCCTCCTTTCCCCAATAATTCGATCTAGTGCTTCCCCCTTGAAATGTTCAATGGAAAATCCCAGCCTGTCACAGCTGAGGAAACCCCCCCCCCAATCAAACCATTCGGGGGAGGGGGGGGGTCTTCTCTACCCCTCTCAACCCAAGTAGTTTAGGGGGCCCTCCCTGGCTGAGGTAGATCCCCTCCCCCCCCCCCCCACAAAATTAAGTTCTTTGCAGTGCAATACCCCCCCCCCAAATCTCCCAACATGCTGCAGGTGCCCCCCCCCCAAAAAAATCCTTAACTTTTTCTATGTGCAAAAGACAGCTCTGGCAAGGAGAGGGAGCTGTGTGTATGGTGGGGGGGTCTCCCCCCCAGGTTTAAAACAGTGTCAGACTCTTTGCATCTTGTCCAAATTCTCCCCCCGCCCACCCCCACCCCCTGAGGCTGTGCCACAGGAAGGGGGAGCCCCTCCCCGAAAGGCAGCTGCTCCTGGTGTCGTGCCCTCTGCTGGGCATCCTCCGGGCAGTCGGCCTCTGGAATCGGGGGGGTTATACAGCTGGAAGCCTCCCCCCTCAGCATCCAGCGCCCCCTGCTGGCTGTGATGGTCCATCGGGGGGGGAGGTCACTCCACGCGCACCAGCAGACCGTAGAGAACGGTGGCCCCCTTCTCCTTGGTGACCCACTCGAGCTCAGCGGGGCTGAAGCGGGGGTCTGGGGGGTCAGGGGCCCCGGCCGACGGGGGGCCCGGCTTGTAGGAGCCGGGGCGAACGCACACCTGGAAGGCCACCTGCACCCCGTGCTGCCGCTGAGACTTGGGGTCCCGGAATCTGTGGGGGGGGGGGGAAGAGAGAGAGAGGGGTCAGGGAACTCACCAC